TTTTCATTAAATTAATTTTTTTCAAACATAAACACTAAGAACCATTACATACTTCCAAGGAATTAGGAGTTAACAAGAAGAGAAAACAAACTTCAAGCCTCTCTTCCCCAAACTAAGGCTCAACACAGTTTAAAAGTAAAAGCTTACATTGTATCCAACTTTAAATAAAAACTGCAACTCACAGTAATGACCACCATTTATTGGCTGTATCACCTTACCTGAAAGACTGCATGGGATCTGGAAGAGGAAGCATTCACATCTGTGGGATGCTGAGTTCTATTTTTATTTCCATAATCCAACATCTGAAGGATTTCCTCTGCTGATTTAGGCTTTAAGAATAGAGCACAAGACAAATACAAGTTTTTTTTCTCTTTTCTACCAACTATAGGAATACACTGATTCTAAAATACATTTACATGAACATTCAACTTAAAAAAAAAACAAACTTAAAATTTTAGCTACCTAGAAGTAAGAGAAATTGAAGGACTTCAAACATTCTCAGCTAGAAAACAGTAAGTTATGAAAAGAAAGCACTTAAGTGCAGCAACTTAAATCAGAAAATATTTTTAGTAAAGAATTTAAACAAATCTGAAAGATTCTCCATAGTCAGAATCAGCCTCTTTCAAGAATGTCTGGACATAAATTAGTATATCACTATTTAATGCATTAGTACAAGTTTTTTCCTCACAAGAGTCAAGGTCTGGGAAGAAGGATGTTCACAGAGAGCTAGCCAAACTTAGAATATTGTTTCTTGCCACAGCATGTAATAACATACACAAGAAAGCTGCAATAAAATAGGTCCACAGGAATTGATTTTCAGATTGGAAAACTAAGTTCTATCACTGATCTTCCCAAAGAATTGCTGTGCTGGCCTGGAGAAGTAATGCAACATAGAACTTTCCAAACATGGCTATTTACAAACAAAAACAACCTTTAGACTGCACAGCAGTGTAGATCACTCCAAGATGTTAATGAAAGCAGTGCCAAGATATTTTAGCCAAAAAAGAAATTTTCCAAAATCTGCTGGATGAGCATCAAGCCAATGACACCCTTTTGATAACAAGGACTGAATGCATCTATATTTGCATTCAATAAGACTAGCAGGTTTTTTTTCCACAATGTTAATTTTAACTAATTAATAGATTTGCAAGTTTCTGGTGCTTATGACCAGAAAAAAGCCCACTAGGAAATTACCAAATTCCATACAACTCTCAGAACAATGGGAATGTTTCTCAACTATTTCAAGCATATTTTAAGTTTCTATAGATATTTACATACCTGATGCAATGTCAGACCGTGAACCACCACCCCTTGCTGGCCATCTTCACGAACAGCCAGAGGTCCAGATTTGACAAGCAGATCACGTATCTGCTCATTGTAAACCTTTGAAAGGGAATTTAGATTTTATTAAAATATCTTCCCATAGCTGACAGAATTAAATAAATAGAAATGACTGGTCTTTTTTAATACTCCTTTAAGATAAAGCAGTGAATTCATGCTATAATTTTTTTACATTTTTCCTATACTGAGCTTAAAATATTCAATTCACTTTTTTTTTTTTAGATTTTAGAAAGAATTATTTCTAGTAAATAATCTTCATTCTTTATTGAAAGCAAATTACCTTTTTTTTTACAAAAACCAGTACATCACTATCCATACTTCAGTGATATTTTTTAGTTCAAGTCTACTTCTGTTAAAATTTTTAAATGTCTTATTTCTTGGTCTGTGAAAGCATATGGCAATGCAAACCTTCCCCACCTCCTTCCACCCCTCCCAAATACCAACTGGAGTCCATTAAGACTTTGAGGGAGCTAAAAAGATAACCATTTTACTGACACCACTCAGCAGCAGTGCCAAAATATTTACTTGTAAAAACAGAACATCATTTTGTAACGCTTCTTCACAGTGCTTATGGGATGTTACTGTGAAGTCCTAAAATGTTACCCTGAAATGATATTTTCTTGTACAAACAAAATGATATTTTCTTGTACAAATCAACAGATGTTCAGAGGCACATAACTGATCAGCAAGACACAAATCATGAGTATTCAGAAAATGAATTAAAAGCAGTTGCTGTTTTTGGGCAGCCTTCTATAAAACAGTGAGAGCAGCCTACGAGCACCAAGTTTTGGAGAGCACAATACAGTTCCACTCCTATAAGGACAGATTTTGTCAAGCCCCAGAAAGGACCAGAGGAAAGCAAAACCAGCTTGTCTTTATTTATAAAATATGACTTATTAAAAGCAACATACCAAATGCAGGAACTCACCTCTAAATAAGAGACAGCAACATCACATGTTTTATCTTCTTTTATTTGATCCATGCGTTTATAAAGTGTCATCATAGTTAAATACATGACTCCAGGATCTTCAGGAGAACCTAACATTGTGTGAGTCTTTCCAGCTCCTGTTGCACCATATGCAAGCACTGAATTTTCCCCAAAAAACACAACAAAGTGAAAATTCGTCATTTATTTGTAAGCCACTCAGAAGCGCAAAAGTCAAATGAACATTCATAGACCTCTGTCATTCTGCACAACTGCTTCATAAATAGATCAAATTTCTTACTTAGGATTTACCTTTCATATCTGTAATTAGAGATATTTCAAAAGAACATTTTTGAATTTTCAGTTCAAAACTCATTCACACATTGCATGAAAATATTATTTACTTACTCTCATAACCCTAAGCCATCAGCTTATTGCTGATAGGCATTTAATTTCCTCACCACATTCCAGTAGCCAATTAAAAAACTCCAAGATCTTTAAGAGTTCATAAAGCAGGTTACCACACATTCAGTGACACAACTGCTTCTGCTTGAATAACTCTAGAGGACTGCCATTAGCACATATACTTCAGATAAAATTCCTAAGTCTATTCTAACCTTAACACAAGTTGTTTTTTTTTTTTTTAAATAGAGTATAGCTATCCTAACTTCCATGTGCTAAAAAGTCAGCCTTTCACATCTGTGAATTAAACCACAATGTTTTATTTCTATCTCAGCCTTTTTTCATGCCTCTGCAGCCATTGGACAGAATGGCAGAAACTTTGAAACATTCACTTATGTTTTTTAATTAAAGAAGATAAGTAGCAAAGTTACCTGTACAGTTATATCCATTCAGGAAGCCATCAATTAGAGTTTTGGTAGTATGCTCAAACACTTCCAGCTGGGAAGAATTGTCATCAAAAATGGCATCAAACATAAATTTAAGATCTTTCCTTTGTCTTTTGTTAATATCCCTGTGGGTCACCCTCTTCCTGTTAAAAAAGCTAACTTCTTCCTCCTTTGGATCAAAGACCAATACATGCTGGTCAATAACACGGACAACCCTGCTAAAGCTGCCTTGTTTTTCCTTTTGGGTCTCTGGACGGACACGGACTACCACTTTCACATGACTACAGACATCTTCTTCCTTGGCAGGAGTCATCTCTTCTGCTCTCCAGCTTCACTTCCAACACTCTTTCAGATCGAGCAGCTGACTCTTTTCTGCAATTGACGAGACAGCTTTTATTTGCAACATAATCACTCTTCAAACAGTTCACAAATTTCATCAGGCACCTATGCTGGATCCACCCACCACCTGTCAATGGACTGTCCCAATGGCAGTGAGACTTTGGGAAACACTGTAACTGGCCTCCAAAGATGACTTATTGCAGCACAGCTTTCAGAAAGTCAACTAGCACTTCCACAGTAAATTCTTAAGTTTATTCTAGAATTTAAACTACTCAATGACCTACAGGCTTTCCTTTCCTCCACCAAACCTTCAGATGAGATATCATATTTCTGTAGACTACAGCGAATAGGGTTTTTTTGTTCTTCAGCACAAATAGGAGCTGCCTATGTTGCTGTCCCTCGATTGATATAGTCACGCTGCACATGGATTTAAAGAGAGTTTAACCGGGATTTACGTTAACGTGCCTCGCACGGGATGTAGTAACCGATACCAAAATGGAATTACCTTTAAATAACCCATTTTTTGGCGTTAACAGCGGGCTTTTAAGGGTTCAACCCTTTAAAGCGGACAGTAAAGGCTATCAGTGAAGCTCTTGCCGCTCCAGGGCCAGCTCGCCCTCTCTCAGCCGAGCCGCCCCCCAGACCCGCTCCTTACCCCACCGCAGACAGCTTTTTCTCGGGCACACCTCCAGGCCCGGCCCGACGGCCAGAGAATCCCCCCGGTGCCTGCCGCGGAGACGCCTACCCCGGCACTCATCGTCCGGGCCGCGCCGGGCCCTCCCCGCTCTCACCCGCGCTCCCTGCCCTCAGCCGTCCCCGGGCTCGCTCCCCAGGCTGGCCCCCGGGCCGTGCCCGTCCCCGGGCTCGCTCCCCGGGCCGTGCCCGTCCCCGGGCTCGCTCCCCGGACTCACCCGCGGGCCGCGGCCGCGCCAACCGCCATCCACCGGCCGCCGAATTCAAACACAAGCAGGCCGCCCTCCTCGCCTCCTTATTGGCTGTCCCCCGTGACGTCAGCAGAGCGCCGGCGCCACCGGTAAGTGCGCGGGGCTGACGGGCGCGCGGCGTCCGCGGGGCGGCCGTGAGGGAGGGAAAGGAGGGGGGCACGGCCGGGGCGGACGGACGGACAGCCAGACGGACAGGCAGGCAGGCAGGCAGGCAGGCAGGCAGACGGGAGCGAGGGAGGGAGAACCAGCCAGCCAGCGGCCTCTGGCTCCGCGTGTCCCGCCAGCCCGGGCAGGCACATCCCCAGCCTCTTCCTCCTGCACCCCGGCGCGGGGCCTGGCGCGGAGCGGCGTGCGGGCTGCTGACGCTTTTGCGGTCTCCTCTGATAAAAAAGCGTTGAGGAGTGGGATTTTTGTCCCCGCTGCCTTTACTTTCTGCTTTAGTACGAGTCCCGATCTTGAGGCGGCAGCCTCCACTTGTGCCCGAGTGCCCCTTAAGACGTGTGCTGTTATAAAGCACACTTCCTCCTCACTTCTCAGAAAAATACCTCCAGTTGTGTAGAACGAGGGTGATCGTAAGCAAAGCATGAGCCTCGTGTTGGCCACTCGTACCAGTGTGGGTCAGTGTGATTAAGATTATGGCATATAGTGGTTTAGCCCCAGCCAGCCGCTCCTCACTCCCTCGCCAGTGGGACTGGGGAGGGAAGGGTAAAAAGGTAGAAAACTCGGGGGCTGAGATAAAGAGAGTTTTATAGGTAAATCAGAAGCTGTGCAGACAAGCGGAGCAAACCAAGGAGTTAACTCGCTACTTCTCACGGGCAGGCAGGAGCTCAGCCATCTTCAAAGGGCCCCATGGCAGGTAATGGTCACTTGGGAAGACAAGTGCCATCACTCCAAACATCCTCTTCTCCCCACGTTCTGTATGGAGCATGATGTCATTTGATCTGGAATATCCCTTCAGTGCTTTTGGGTCACCTGGCCCAGCTGTGTCTCCTCCCTGCTGTGTTCAGCAGAAATCCAAAACACAGCCCTACATTAGCCACTGTGAGGAAAATCGACTTCACCCCAGACAAAACCAGCACGGTTTTGGTCTTGGTTTTGGTTTATGGTAATACATGTTTTCTGTAGACACATTATGGTTTGCTGCAAAACCTCACGTCTGTGTGCCTATTCAAAGTTAGAGCGATACATGCTTTTAAGGTGGGGGAATTACTGTCCAGCTAAAGCTGAAATTGTCAGGAGAGTAACTTTCTCAGCTTATTCTTATACAGGCAAAATATTGGTAGCCTCTGGGAAGGTAAATTCAAGAAAAGCATGTATTAAAATCTGATAGTGAAAAGAACCTGCTTATTGCTTGAATATGATTGAACTGTAGATAATATTGGAAGTTCTGAAAATGTTTTGCTGACATATCTATAAAGCTGCCCAAGTTGGGATGTGTATAGCTTTGCCTATAGCATTTCTGCTTTGTTATTTAAACAGATACACTATTTCAAGTATTTGAAAGTAATTCCCAACATCTACTGCTCTTCTAGGTTGATCAACTCCAAAATGTTATCTCAAAATCTGCGCCAAGTTTGCAAATGTTTGTTTCTGCATAACTTGAAACTGAATTCAGTAAATGTGGCTGTTTTGGCCAGAAGGATCTATTCTTCATCAGAAAAGCTTTCTGACTGTGAGTCAAAGGAACAAACTGTCCAGAAATGTGAAACTGAAGAGATGCCTCAAAGTACAGAAAACAGTAATTTTGGAAGACTGCACATACCAGTGATGCTGGAGGAGGTTGTTAATTGTTTAGCCCCTCAGCCAGGTCAGGTGAGTTAAATGATTAATTAACATTTGTCATCCATTACCAGTCCAGCAGAAAAATTTGTGGAGTGTAAGGATAACTTTTGGTCAGAGGAATAAAGGGATGCTCTTAAACTATCAGTTACATCTGAAGTTCAAATTAAGACTCTGTATTAATTACCTAATAAAATTCTGGTGTCTGTGTGCCTGAATCCCCAGTAGGTGGTATTTATTAAAACTCATATTTGACTATTCTGTTGCTTTTGTGCTTGTCTTTTTGAATTGCACTTGTGTATTCTTAAGGTTATGTTAATTACTCATAGTAGTGGGGAGTTATTATGAATGGTTACCTCATCAGTTTCTTAAAAACCTTCTTCCTCTTGTATAAGAGGTAGTAAGTATGTAGGTTTTAAAAATTGTTTAGCCTCATTAGCATGGAACTAGTTCAAACCTTCTTATTTGGGTATGGTACTGTAAGTAGTTTTGCTTTTGGTGTCTGGGGAAGTTCAGGACTCTGCACTGCTGTATTGATCTCTTTACATTGCATGTGGACTACCAAGTATATGGTTACACATGTCCTTGAAAAACATGAAAACACAGTGAAATGTTTTTTGGCTGGGTGGTCTTAACTTGAAAGGATTTTTTAAATAATGTAAACTCTTAAATAAGGTTTGCATTTCAGATACTTTCACCTGTGATTTTAGTGTTTATGTTAGCTCCATATCTCACTAATTTAGGCTTATCAATGTGTGGTTTTACTACAAAGACTGAAACAATAGGTAAAAGAGTAGAAAGGTGTTTGTATGTTTTTATTTTTATTTGAGAACAGCATGATCCAACAGTGGCAAAGTGATATAGCAAGTTTGAGGTGGATTCAGTCAAATGCAGTCAAATCTTGTTGTGTTGCCCTATGTATCACTTTAAATCTTTGAAGAAGCAGTGAAAATGCAAATAGTGTTGATATATATTAACATACACATTGCTCTTGCATGTGTTTTACTGTTGAAGATACCAAAATTAGAGAAATACATAAGGAACTTTGAGTTCAGATTTTATTCTGATGTCAGAACTATGATGACATTTTCACGTAATAAATGAACATATAAACTGTGATACACTATGTGAAATATTTTTTCCAGTTTAAGTTTTTACTTAGATAAGAAGAGCCTGATAAAGTCAGCATTCATTAAACTCCTTGTTGATGTAGAAAACCTTACTTGGCAACAGCACCTGTAAAAGAAACTATTCAAGGTTATGAACTGTGGAGAGTAACTATTACTGCCCCGAAGACTTTCTAATTTAAATATTTATTGATGTAAAATAGCTTATTATTGGGGTGGGATTTTTTCAGGTCTGTGTATACATAATTTTTCAAATTCCTAAGCTAGTAGTGAACTGCTAATGACTGCTATAAGAGAGCCCAAGTGTGTTTACCTCAAACAGAAGCATTTATAATACTGCTAACCTGTTCAGCATGATTGAAACTGGAAACTGTTCAGCACTTCCATTTTTCTTTTTCTGTATGTATTTGCAGCACTTTCTGAAGCCTTGAAAAATAAGTATGCAAAAGGATGCAATGTGTCAACTGAGTTTTGCTAGTGTAAATGAAATTTTGAACATGGGTTGAGAGTGGTGGTAATCAGTTTGTATGAACATGGATGCCAACTGGGAATGTCATATAAATTTACATTTTTAAGATTACAGTCATGACAGGAAGTCAATAAACACTTTATTTTGTGGACAGGTGAGGTAGTGCACTGATCTTGAATTTAGTTTCTCTGCTTTATTCTCTCCTACGCGCACAGAGATTTCCTGTACTCGGCTTTAATAGAGTTATATTCTTTGTTTTAAAATAGCTGATTTGGACCTCTATTTCTTCCTGTGTCCTAAGACAAGGAGTTACCAATATAAAGAAAATCTAATTAGAAAGATGATGTTCTCCCTATCGTTATGGTCACTTGAAGGGGATTTTCATTTTACTTATAGAGGTTCTTACGAAAATAAGTGTTACTTAAGAGTGAGTCACCACTGAGATAAAGATGTTAGTGCCCTCCCACTGAATATTCTTGTTGATTGTTTCCTTTGGGGAATCTGTTTTTCAGGAGTTTGAGCAATAATACTTCCATTTATCTTTGAATCTTCTTTTATTGCCTTGTTTCACAAAATTCCCTGTAGTAGTCCTGTCTTTGAAGCGAAGACTACAACCAAGCTACCTGACTTCTCAATGAAAAGTCTGTTGAAATAAGTCCACACATAATTTCCTCTTTAGGATTACTGTATTGATTACATTTTAATCTTCTCAGTCCAGGAGTGTTGTTTGCAAATACCTGACCAATGTTTTTACAGTTGTCTGGACAATTCTCTGTTCTTTTAAAGAACCAGACATATTTTGAATAAATGTTTGGACATCCAGAAGCAGGTTTCCCCCATTTTCAGCCTACTTTTTGCTATTTTTTTTCTTTGCAATTATCACTTGTCTTTTAACTAGAGATGTGGATCTTTTCCACATAGTGTGGCTATAATGTTAAGTAAAAGAATTACAATAGCAGTGAGTTCTAGTATGAATGCCAGAGGATGAAATTTTACCTCTGAAATTTTAACTGCTCTTATGTGAATCTTTAAAGTTTTTCAGTTGCAAAGCTCTTGGAAATGATAGTGCTCCAGCACCAACAAATACTTCTATACATAATATTTTAACTCCAGCTAGAAGAAAAGCAAATATTATGCCATACTCAGACTATATGGGGAAGCCTGTAATCTGATGATATCTATGGTTTTATATGACTGATTTTACCTATGGTTGAGTATGATCTAGAAGAGACCATAATGAAGATACTAGAAGCTATACTAGTATTATTTGGTTTATGATAGTTCTAGATGCCTTTTTTTTTTTTAGTATCTGGAAATTAAATGGTAGGTGGTCAAACCTGAGGTGAGAAATAAAGAGTGAGACCTTTCCATTTTCTCCAGTGTTTAAGTGGTTTATCAGAAGCAGTTAATAGTAGATGTTTTTTTTATGTCATTATGTTAATTTGTATAGAAAGAAAGAAGGCAGTTATTTTCCCCAAAGGGATCTCGTCTGTCATCATCTTGAGTTAGCCAGGGCTTAGTGTGGGTATTTCCCTTTTGATTTTCCATAATGTTATTCAGATTTTTTTACTACTTGGCATTCATTGAAGGAAGTATCCTTTTAGTCTTGGAAATCATGTGTTATACTTAGTTTCTAGACAGACAAGTAATTCCTGAAAACGTGCAGCTTTGCCATGACCTTTCCTTTTGCTCTTTCAGGTACACACTGCTTTGTTTTCAGGATAGTTAACATTTTCATGCATCCAAACATCAAATGATTCTTTTTCAGGAGGAGTGTGAGCATGGACTTCTGAAATAACAGGAAGGAAGTATAAGACATTGCTGACACTCAGATATTGTTTTGTTGTGAGTGAAGTGCTACTTGAGCTCTGGGGTTCAAGTTTGAAGACAGTAGCTTTTCACCTCCTGGAGGTTCTGTTGCTACTGTTGGATGTTGATCTGGAGCATGGTTGTTTCCTTCCTCTTCTACAGAGCTTGTTAGTCGAGTGATAGATGACACTGGAAGAAAGCTGAGGTAGACTTCTGGCATGAGAAAGCAGAGTCAGTTCTGCAATGGTTGTCTTCGTTTCTCTGTATTCTTGTCCATACATCAATATTATCTTTCTGCCTTGTACTGACTATAAATGCTTTAAGGCAAAAATAACCTTTCTCTGTACAGCACCCTGCAGAGGAGACTTCTGTTTTGTGACCAAGGTTGCCAAGTATTGTTGTATATAAAGTTACATGACTGTGCTGGTGACCAAGGTTCTTACCATAGTACCTCCAAACCCATCTGCAAATCATCTATAACTGGAATGACTCGTTCATACTAGAGGTTCTCCAAACTGAAGTTTTCTGCCAGGTGTCCAAAATAAAGAGGAATTGAAAAGGGATCTGGAAAAATTAATTCTGGCTTTTCAACTTGTATGAGTTTTTTTGTAAAATGCAGCCAAAATACCAAGTTTGGAAGGGAGTATTACTTGCATCATGAGATAAATGATGAAATAATTGTTCTGGAAAAGCACTACACACACGGACATAGTAATAAGTTTTTATTGTTTTAGCCTGCTTTTCACTGGATTTGTAAAATGAATAAGGTGACATAAAGCAATTGATTTGCATAATGTTCTTTATTGTAGAAACAACTACTTTTTTTGTGAGAAGCATTCTGAAAATATCTTTCCATATGCAAATTTTATGGCTAATTTTTGTCTGTCAGCAGCACAATGAGATTTGTAGTGATTGTTATAAAAAAGAAGATACAGAAACTTACAAGAGTCAATAAATTAATGTAGAGTCATTCTGAAAATACTCCAGGAATTACAGAACACACCTTTTTTTCCCATGGTACTTGAGTGTTCTGGGGCATATTGAGAGTTGTTTCAGTTGACCATGTAGTTCCTGTGTATTTTTTTCTGTCACTCTGATCTTGCCTGATGTCCTGGCTGCACATATTGTAAATATCAGGAAGAGTCTAGCCAGGCTTCAGATCACAGCTGTGTGTGGAAGTTTGTAATAAAATGTGCATTGAATGTGTATATATGTGAAGTATATTTATTTTTGGATGTATCTACTAGGAAACTAGTTAAATGGATTCTCATCAGATAACACTGTTTAAAATACTTGGCTAAAATCATACTTTAAAAGGGATGTTTTTAGTGAAGTTAGCCTTTGAAGTTAGTGTATGAAAATGGAAAACACTTTCAAAACAATTGTTATAAATGAAATTAGAATTTCAGAAAACTAGGTCCCTTGAGTTAATAACAGTTTAATTAAAAATGAATACCATTTAGTAAATTGTATAATAATTTGGTATAAAATAATACAATTTAGTGAATTGAATAGTAATTTGGTATAAAAGAATACTATTTAGTAAAATAATACAATTTAGAAAAAAAAAAATACAATTTATATATATAATTTGCCAGTAATTATTATTAAAG